CAATCCCACTCCTGAATAAAAGCTTTCCAAGGAATGCAACAAAGCACGGTCCAATTATTATTATCTTTCTAAAATATACAAAGCTAATCAGTCGGGAACAAATAATAAAATAATCCGATTTTCTTTTCGTAATATTTGTAAATTCTGCTCCAAATAAAAAAATAACAAAATACTTATTCGATAATGTTAACACGACTCTTTGTTTACGTCGAGTTCTTAGAAGTGTTGATTTTGCCACTCAAACTTTTGTAAATTTTTAGTGATTATTTCAATGTTTGCTCTGGAAAATATTTTTCTTTTTAATTTGCATGTCAGATAAAAATGTGAAAATAAAACCATTTAAAACTTTTTCAGTCTCCAATTCATTTATGCCTGATCAGTTCACAGGCCTTTCCAAATTAATGTTCTCGTAAAAACCATCGTAGGGGATCGAACACAGGTTGCTCACGTTCTTCTACATCTCAGTGGCTCGAATATTGTATACGGATATTTTCTTCTTTAATTTGATTAATTAATACGCATTAACTAATTTATTTAAAAGGTTTCTATGTAAAAGCCCTAATACATACAATCTTAGTACTCAGAGTTAACAACGCAACTGTAGCCTTCTTAGTTTGAAGTTCACTGCAGATGTGCATGGCCTGTAGTAACCATTTACATATTTATAAAAAGGTACATACAAATTAAATTGAGTAAAAGGAATGTTAAATTTTTAGCCTATTTGCGTCCCACTGCTAGGCACAGGCCTCCTTTAATTTCTGACATAGTTTTAAGGCAAGGAAGTATCCGCTGCGCTGTCCCAATGTGTGTTGGAGAACTTCACATGTCTTCGAAATATTTTTTTTTTCTTATTTTGTTTTACATCGCCGAGCATCCGGTAAATCAGCACTTAAAATAGCAATTCACAATTTCATTGGTTTAAGTTGAGTAATATACACTAATGATTATGAGTTGAAGTGATGGTCTATACACTGACCGTGCCAATATTTGCGGGAAAACGTCGCCGAGTATCAGAACAAACTTGTGTCTGAAGTCGATTCTTTGCTAAAAAAAGTTTTGGATTAGCGGGGACTAAATCTAGTCCAGTTCAATCCTCATAAGATACAAGTTTGCACGCTTACCGTTAAAAAGAACCGCTTTGTCGTATCTCCTCAGTTTTAATTAAGGCACACCCTTTGTTGCCTCAGCAGGTATCAGAATCCTCGGCGACGACATATCGAATGATCTGTATTTTCGTGGTCTCTTGGAAGATAAGGCCAAATTGTCCTCTAAAAAGCTAGGCATTCTTAGCTAAGACGTAAAGCGGGACAATTTTACAATGCGCAGATTCGGCCTCTTATGCAATACTGTTTCATAATGTCATCTATAATGTCCGGGACTTGCTAATGCAAACTCCTTCCACTTGACCGAGTCCTCTATGATCGGCTGATCCACTGGTGCTGTGAAGAGATGTTGCGTGCTTTCGCATCTTCTATATCATCTACCACGGGGAATGCTCTGAGGAATTTAAGTTACGAATAATTTCAGTCGCCTAATTTCACGAACGCTCGTCGCAACAAAACTCACGATACCATTCATATCATCTGAATGCTTGGCGGTCCACCAGTGTACGTTTTACTAGAAGTTTTCTTCATAACACGACCCCTCTGTGGAATCGTTAACCACCTCTGATTTTTCCGGACCGATACGACTTAGAGACCTTCAAGAAAAGAGCGTACTCACGGCAGTTTTTATTCAGTTTTTGTCACGAATCTCAAGCTCGTTACAATTGGTGTCAGAAGTGGGATCAAATCATGTTGATTTTACCTTAAGATGACATGGAAGGTCTCCGTACTTGAAATCAACTCCAGCAAGGACGGACTAGAGACGACTTGGTGGTGCAAGAAGAAGAAGAAGAAAAGAGTTTCAATTATTTAAGCAACCAAGGCTCATATTTTGTTATTATTACTTATAACTATGTTAGTAGGCAAAATATTATTTGTGAAGTACAATAAAAATACATTTACCTTATATGGCAATACAATGGAATGTGTATAGGTAGTTCAGTCTGCTAGCAATCATTTTCAGGATACTATTATTGCTCCCCCGCATCCTACGCAACAGAGACGCGCACCTCTTGCGAAGAGTCGCGTAAAAGCAGTCCACTCGTGCTTCCGCAAACATCTCTCTGATGCACTACAGAAGCGAGGCAGCCCCAGCATTAACCTTAATGAGTTGTTTTATTGTACTCGGAGGGTGTTGTAAGCCTTTTGAGCGTATCTAGCCCACAGGCTGCACGTTTAAAATGACGTGCAGTAAGCTCTAAATAGGACTATTTTTACTTCCCTTGAACAGCGTGCAAACCTGTGAGCTATCATGTTCGCTCTTACTGACAACGCCCTCCGTTCCCTCTCAATGTCATTATCATCCTCGAGACTAGGAGTCAAAACATGGTCAAGATATTTATACCTAAAGGCCGCAGACGTTGGAGGGTTAGCTGTCAGCCACGGAGGTCGGCCCGTCAGCAGCTTCTACATCTGCAACACCTGACTTAGGTGCTCTGATGATGAATCTGAGAGATGAGAACAGTTACACTCACAGGAGTAAAAGGCCGTCGGTTGGAAGATCATCAGGTGGAACAGGCCTGCCAATAAAAGGATCAGGCCTGTCGATTGGAAGTGCAGCTGCAGCGTAGAAAGTGGGAATAGCCCCTCGTAAGATCAGCAGGCGGAACAAAACCGCCTACAGGAGGAACATGTCCGCCGACTGGGAGAACAGACCCGTCGATTGGAAGAGCAGCTCAAACGCAATAAAGAAGAGCAGATACTTCTCATGAAGTAACTTCACGATAATGATTTCTTATATTTACGCGAACACTATACATTGATAAAAACTACTTTTACGGATTTAATCGCGTTTTATTTATTTTATTTTTAATACCCGACGTTTCGAATGCTTTCCAGCACCCATGGTCACGGGGGACTGAGGTGACTGACGTCCAGATGTCAAAGTTAACCCGGAGTACCTTCAGCTTTTTAATTATTGTCTTTGGTCCGATCTACGCAGAATGAACTAACTGTGTTTTGAAGTCTTGCAGTGGTATGTTTGGGTTTAGGTTTAATTTTATTAATTATAGGATCCCAAGCAGGTGGTAGTACCCAGCCTCCTTCTCTATTGAAATTAGAATGTTTTTTAATTTATTGAAATTAAAAAACAAGGATGCCTCACGTATCAGCCTTGGTAGGAATCGATGTTCTTTCGCGACGATTTCGCCATCTAGGATATGATCGCAAACTACAGACTTCCCGGAACGTGAAGCATCAACGCTTTAAGTCGATTCCATCAATAAATTGTAGACAGACACTGCATTGGCCGTAAGATGCGACTCGATTAAATTTTTGTGACTCGAGCCACTCGCGTTAATTTAAGTATGTATGTGATTCTAATTGTAAACGAGTTTTTGAGTAAATTTTCGAGTAAATTGACTATTTAGATTCCTTGCATCGAGTAAAAGTTTATCACTAGAGTTGAAAAGTAGCGATTACTTTAGTTTAACAATTTTTAAATATGTACCTTTATTAAATAAATCGATCGATTTGATTCGATCTTAAAATATCTATAGTTGCTGAATGTACCTACAACTTTGTTTTATACTATTAATTATTAAACAGTGCACTATTTTAATACCAGTGAAAATTACTAGACAATTGCTTTTAGTTGTTTTTTAGTTTATTGTGTTTTTCATATTTTAATTGTTAATTTCTCAGTATTCCCGTTAAGAAGGGGTAAAATTAATATTACTATTGTAATCTATAGATTATAAGGAATAAATAGATATGCATTTTATTAACATTTGTTGTGGGCCCATTCTCCATACAAAAATTGATTGTCTCCTTTCACTTACAAAAGGACCATTTTGCATTAAAAAAATACAGAAGGACAAGATGCGAGGTAGATTGAACTCCTGCAGAAATACGACTTTTTAAAATCACAACGGCAAATGTCAAGGAAACGTGGATGCATTGTCAAGAAGACTTTGTACTGAAGAATGCAAGCATTGTACCGGGCAAGAAGGTTAGGAAGTGGTATCTGTGAGGATGCTCAGAACAGATCACGAGAAATCGAGAACTAAAAGAACAAAATCGAAAACTAAAAGAAAAACTACAAATTGCTGAAATTAAAATAGAACATATTCTATTAGAAAATACAAAATTAAATCAATTTCTATGCAAACATGAAATAAAAACAAAATTTTTGGATTCGTAAACCAAAAAAAAGAAGAAATTCGTAAATCAAAGTAAAAAAGATTATAAAAAGAACAGTTTTGGACTTTTTAGAAGATGAAAAGGAGGAATGCAGCTCTAATTATTTACAACGAATGAATATCACGCCATCTAGGATTAAAACAGAAAGTCATCGAGTAAGTGCCGGCGATCTAAGCTCCCGAGCCATCAAATTAATAATAGTTCACTAACCTCATATAAATAAGAAAGCCTAATATCCTTATAATCGGTGACCAACAGAGTAGAGACCTGGCAGCAAAATTAAAGTTATAACGATTCGGGTTATACAATTATTGTTCTAACGTCTCTGGTATGTTAACCCTTCTACAGTTAGAGGGAATATTTTTCCCACCACCTTTTATAATAGAAAAACCAAAAACTACCAATTGCAATAACTTTTTTATTTTGGCAACATGAAAGAAAAGTATAAAGTTCATTTTTTAAATTTGACATTGATATATCGTATACGAATTTTTTCGAAACGGTTGCAATGAAAATCAAAAACAGGAGTTTTTTCAATTGCGAGAGAAATCGATATAAATTTTCAAATTTACTTGGTGATTTATGGTAAGTTCTTCTAGATTTCGTAGCTTTGTTTCTAATATCTTAGAAATGAGACGTATTTTTGGTTTATCTTGTACAATTTTTTTCTGCAATGATTTTTCTTGGTGGTAAGAATATTCCCTCTAACCGTAATCCTATACTATATTATTACATTATTTTACAGATTGACTAAAAATGAGCAGTAGAACACTAAAAGAAAGTGAAATAGAGTCGGCTCTGGAGGAAATGTTTGGTTTACCATCAGATCCAGACCAGTCCGAAGACGATGAAGAATCGGATGAGGATAATGTTTTACAATAACATAATGCGAAACTGCAGCGGATTTTAGAGGATTTAGATGAACCAGGATTGCGATCTTTAGCTATAATAACGGCTTCTCCTCAGCCTTCCACGTCGAGTGATGAACCGGACCCGCGATGTTTTGTAAGATTTGAAAGTGCATCGTTATCGCCTAAACCTTCTATGTCGAATGCAGAACTGCCTAGTAGCGCCCATCCTGGTACAGTTCAAACTGCAAGAAGACAGGGAAGTGGATATGAGATGGGTAAGGAAAGTGGAAGAGAAAATAGGACAGAGAAGGAGAGCTGAAAAAAGTCGGGATCATGGAGATAGTGGATCAGAGTCAGAAGTAGATTCGGAAACAAATGCTTCTGACGAAGATGAAAATGCATGGAAGAAAAAATTATGGACTGACAAGAGGCCACAACCAGACACCTTTAATAGTGTACTGATGACTTCAACACGCATGCTACCATCAAATGCCAGGCCTGTTCGTCACTTTGAAAAATTTTTTACTCAAGAAATTGTCGAATTGATTATTAGAGAAACAAACTGATATGCTAATCAAAGTAACGTCGTGGGGCGGACCGAAATTTATACAAAAGAATTGCAGGCTTTCTTGGGAATTTTAATCGTAATAGCCTACCACATTTTATCTTCTTTAGAACTTTATTGGTCATCAGATCTTGGTTTTAGAGTTGATGAAATATCTTCTATTATGCACTACAGAAGATTTTCCTAAGATGCAAATCCTAAGATGTTTGCACTTGAATGATAATTCCAAACAACCAGCTAAGTCTGACCCCGCCTATGATAAATTATACAAAATACGACCATTGTTGACCCTACTCAACAGGGTTTTTCAAGAAAACGCCCATAATTGCCTCAAATTGCAAAGAGCAAAACGAAACTGAAATTAGAAAAAGGTCAATATAAATGGAGAGTGAAAGAAAACGTAGCTTTTGTGATCTGGCAAGACGCAAAGGAAGTTCTGTTTCTGACTAATGCTTTCCATGTAAAGGAAAATAAAACATTCGTACTCAGGACACAAAAAGATGGTACAAAAGTTAAAGTTCGATGCCCTGCAGTAGTAAAGGAGTACACAGGCAGGATGGGCGGAGTTGATCACTTCGATCATATCAAAGGTACATATTCAGTTGGACGAAGAAGCAAAAGATGGTGGCTCCGCATCTCTTATTTTCTTTTTGATGCCTGCATCATAAATACATTTTTGCTTTACAGCGCAAATGCTAATTCTGCGACACTAACCAATTAAGAGTTTTGTATTGTCTTAGCAAGAGGGATAATTGGAGGATTTTCATCGTGGAAACGGTGTTCAGAAGGCGTTAATTATGTTTTGAGAAAAAAAGTTGCGATTTCCGATAATTACCAAAAGTTGAAAATTATCAATGTTACTGCACCAGAAATTCGCTTCTCTAACATTGGAGAACACATGCCAGTTGATCTACCATAGTATCAACGATGTCGAATTGCAGCACTAAGATAAAAGACAAGCGGTCCAAGATCAAGTGCAGCAAATGTGAAGTTCCATTGTGTATAACGCCGTGCTTCCCAAATTTTCATAAACAAATGCCGACATAATTTGAACTTCCATTTTTCTACACTTTTTCTTGGCCACTTGTCCTAGGTTTTTACGACATATTCTATGTGACATATGTATTCTAAGTGTATAAGGGACAGCTCTCTGAAAAAAATTTCGACTTCCCATACAAATGAGACCAAAACGACCGGTGCTATTTGTATAGGGAGTCAATTTTTTTTTAATTTCCGCGAAAAATTTTCTTCAGTACCTTTCTCAGGATGATGATCTGAGTTCATGCTTAGTTTTTGGAAGGCTATCCCTTACACCTTACATATTATATGTATAACTAACTTTTGTATGCTTATTTTGTTTTTCTGACTTCCCATATCACTGCATTCTTATAATATTCAATCTTCTTATATTATCTTAGTGCTTAAATTCTTGTGTGCTCTTCTCTTAATAGATTTTAAAATACGCCTTACATTTGTTAACAATTTTTCCGTACCATGTAAATTCGACTCCAGGCAGAGGGAATATTTTAACCACCAAAAGGAAAAATAATACATACATAAACACTCACGCCTGTCACCCAGAGGGGTAGGCAGAGACTACAGACTTCCATTTGGCACGATCCTGACACACCTCTCTCGCCTCCTTCACATACATACACCTACGCATACATGCTCGTCGGTTAAGGGTACTCCTAATTTGGCCCGTTTTCAATAAATCACCCTGCACAATTTCTCATCCTGTCATTCAGATTCAACCCTAGCATAATCCTTACAGACCATACATTAAGGTAGGGACTAACACAGTATTATAAATTACCATACGTGCCTTTTTTGATACATCCTGGTTCTTCATAATAGTATGTAGTGCCCCATTCACTATATTCCCTGCATTTACTCGTCGTTCTATATCCCTATCAAATCTACCATCCCTGCTAAATACACATCCCAAATACACAAACTCATCCACTTGCTCAATTAACTCTCCTTCTATTCTTATTTCACATAACGTTTTGCTTTCTTCTCTTTCAAAAACCATCACTTTCGTCTTACTTGCGTTCGCTTTCATTCCCCGTTCTTTTAATTCCCAGTTCATTAATGTAACCATAATTTGCAACTCAGCCGCCGATGACGCAAATATGACTTGATCATCGGCATACAAAAGGCATTTGACGGTTAACTCGCCCATTCTTAACCCACATTCTTCATCTTTCAAAGTTTGCAAACACCTGTCCATAAATAGGTTGAACAGCCAAGGGGAAGCTACACAGCCCTGTCTGACACCTTTTTGGATGCCAAACCAGTCCGAGTAGACCCCATTGATCCTGACACAAGCACTAGAGTCCCTATAAAGAGACCTTAATGCCTGTATCAAACCAGCGCTCAACCCATATGAGTTCAGTGTTTGCCATAAAACATTCCTGTCCACTCTGTCATAAGCCTTTTCCAAGTCCATGAACGCACAAAAAACTTTCTGGTTTTTGGCCAAAAACTTCTTCGCAATCATGCGCATGGAAAATACTTGATCTGTACACCCCATTCCCTTTCTAAAACCCGCTTGCACATCCCAAATTTTTCCATCAGTTTCTTTCATAACTCTTTCAATTAACACCTTAGCATACAGTTTACCCACAATACTAAGAAGCAAGCTGATACCACGGTAGTTTTTGCAGTCGTGCTGTGACCCTTTTCCTTTATATATTGGTACCATAACTGCTTTACACCAGTCATCCGGTACCCGTTTTAATTCCCAACATAAATTAAACAAGGTGTACAGCAGGCCTACCACCACTCCCTCTCCAGCCCTTAGCATCTCGAGTGATACTCTATCATATCCAGCTGCCTTACCTGCTTTTATGCTTTTCATTGCTTTCATTATTTTATCTACTCTTATCTTCATACCCCTTTCCACTTCTTTCGGAATTTCTAGTTCATTTAATTCAGACGACTCTTCACTCATAAACACGCTTTCAAAGTATTCCTTCCATCTGTTTAAATTCGAAGCTTCATCATTCAGAATACATCCATTCTCGTCTCTTATAGCATTAATTGTAGGCTGTTTTTTATTTCCCCTGGCAGTTCCTACGAGTTTCCAGAACATTTTTATGTTAGCCTGGAAATTATCAGATATCCTTCTATCATTCTTATCCGTTCTTTCTTTCTTTTTCCTTTCAACAACTTGTTTTAACATAAACACTCACGCCTGTCACCCAGAGGGGTAGGCAGAGATTACGGACTTCCATTTGGCACGATCCTGACATACCTCTTTCGCCTCCTTTACATCCATATATCTACGCATACATGCTCGTCGGTTAAGGGTACTTCTAACGTGGCCCATTTTCAAAATATCGCCAATTTGGTCGACAAACTTTTTTCTAGGGCGTCCCTTCCCGACTCGGCCGTTCACATCTGCCATATAAATTTGCTTTGTCACTCTTTCATCATTCATTCTTTCTACGTGACCAAACCACCGAAGCATTCCTTTCTTAATCCTGGTCACAACATCATCTTGCATACCACATTTATCTCTTATCACGCAATTTCTCACCCTGTCATTCAGATTAAACCCTAGCATATTTCTTAAAGAACGCATTTCTACAGCATTTATTCTACTTTCGTGCTTCTTCTGCCACACCCAGCTTTCACTACCATACATTAACGTAGGGACTAACACAGCATTATGAATTACCATACGTGCCTGTTTTGACACATTCTGGTTCTTCATAATAGAGTGTAGTGCCCCATTCACTCTATTCCCTGCAGTTACTCGTCGTTCTATATCCCTATCATATCTACCATCCCTGCTAAATACACATCCCAAATACACAAACTCATCCACTTGCTCAATTAACTCTCCTTCTATTCTTATTTCACATACCGTTTTGCTTTCTTCTCTTTCAAAAACCATCACTTTCGTCTTACTTGCGTTCACTTTCATTCCCCTTTCTTTTAATTCCCAGTTCATTAATGTAACCATCATTTGCAACTCAGCCGCCAATGACGCAAATATGACTTGATCATCGGCATACAAAAGGCATTTGACGGTTAACTCGCCCATTCTTAAACCACATTCTTCATCTTTCAAAGTTTGCAAACACCGGTCCATAAATAGGTTGAACAGCCAAGGGGAAGCTACACAACCCTGTCTGACTCCTTTTTGGATGCCAAACCAGTCCGAGTAGACCCCATTGATCCTGACACAAGCACTAGAGTCCCTATAAAGAGACCCTAATGCCTGTATCAAACCAGCGCTCAACCCATATGAGTTCAGTGTTTGCCATAACACATTCCTGTCCACTCTGTCATAGGCCTTTTCCAAGTCCATGAACGCACAAAAAACTTTCTGGTTTTTGGCCAAAAACTTCTCCGCAATCATGCGCATGGAAAAGACTTGATCTGTGCACCCCATTCCCTTTCTAAAACCCGCTTGCACATCCCAAATTTTTCCATCAGTTTCTTTCATAACTCTTTCAATTAACACCTTAGCATACAGTTTACCCACAATACTAAGCAAGCTGATACCGCGGTAGTTTTTGCAGTCCTGCTGTGACCCTTTTCCTTTATATATTGGTACTATAACTGCTTTACACCAGTCATCCGGTACCCGTTTTAATTCCCAACATAAATTAAACAAGGTGTACAGCAGGCCTGCCACCACTCCCTCTCCATCCCTTAGCATCTCGAGTGATACTCTATCATATCCAGCTGCATTACCTGCTTTCATGCTTTTCATTGCTTTCATTATTTCATCTACACTTATCTCCATACCCCTTTCCACTTCTTTCGGAATTTCTAGTTCATTTAATTCATACGACTCTTCACTCATAAACACGCTTTCAAAGTATTCCTTCCATCTGTTTAAATTCGAAACTTCATCATTCAGAATACATCCATTCTCGTCTCTTATAGCATTTATTATAGGCTGTTTTGTATTTCCCCTGGCAGTTCTTACGAGTTTCCAGAACATTTTTATGTTAGCCTGGAAATTATCAGATGTCCTTCTAT